ACCCGTGTTTGCGCCATTCGGCTGCTCCAATGCCACTTAAGAAGGTCAGGGCTTGACATGGCTTGACGCTGGCTTTGTTTGAGACTGTTGCGCCCACCAAATTTTGAAAATTAAACTCAGATTTGGTTTGCGAGCAGTCCAACAAAGCCCATGAAAGCAGATTTCGTCCGGTGCGCTTGGAGGAGGCCTGGGAGGCAGGCGAAGCAAAAAACTGGTTGAGGGCTTATCCTTCATCACACCTCCGCGGGAGGCTCCGTCATAGCATAATACATGGCGGCAGTCGCCCAGCTTTACATGAGTAGTGTTGTTTTTGGTGGTTGAACCTAGTAAGACTACTCTATATTGGGTACCATAATATCTCCAAATAAAATACTACTCACCTGGACTTGTTGATCTTCTTTACCGCTTGCGAGACTCGGACAGCTTCAGGCTCCGTGTGGCGGTTATTGATTTTTCAGCTAAGACATGCTAAGACTACAGGGCGTGGATTCTGGGTTCAGGAGTTGAGGCTGTGCCCGGCTTAGATTTCAGATTTGAAGAAGACGTATAGATAGCCAAGTGAAAAGCCCATTCTGTACTTCAAAGATGCCACTTTCTCAACATAATCCCTATACGATCCCTAAGAGCAACTCCTATACCCTCCTTTGTAACCCTCCATATCCCTACGGTACCTCTTGCGGCTTAAGAACCCCCATGTGTTCGCAGCTTCTAACATGCTCTGATCACTGCTGCCACAGAAGCAGCAGCTGCCGCTGCAACTTCTGCACTTTGAAGAATGAACACCGCGCTGGTCATAAAATTTGTAGCAATTGAAGCACGACACAAATGCCAATCTTGACGCTTTTCAAAAATACACGTAGCATCAAGCAACGTTCGCGGCTTTCGCTCTTGTTCACCTTACTTGAAGATTCATCCACATGCTGTCATTCCCACTAGCTGGCGTGAGATGAAATCCCAAGAATCCGGAAGATGAGTATTCTGCCCTTCACCCGTAATTGGGTTCAGCTTGTTTTTCAAGATCAGGACTCAGGGGCAGGAAAAGATGTGCGGAGGCCCACGCACGATCAACGAGCTTTGGAAGCAGAGATCTCAGGGAGGAAGGGATGACGTATGCATGCATGGCGCATGCCTTCACTCCACCATGAGATTGCAAAGTCCCAGAAGCGGTTCCCAAGCAGAAAGATCGCGAACCACAAGACTAGAGCGATCAGAGGGAATTGTCCTTCTTTGGGGCATTCTCTTCTTGATATCTAATGAACCAGTAAGCGAAATGAACTGCACAGCCCAGCAATTCAAACGAAACCCTGAGAGATTATTTGGACATGGCATTGCTTCATGAATTGAAGATCACTCCGCAGTCTAAGCCGATCGCGTTCTTGAAGTTTTTCCAGCCGATTCAGCACCTCGTCCATCTTGTCCTGCGCTCTGGCAACTTGACTCTCCTCAAGCCTACAACCCTCAGAAGAGAAGTGAAATCCAAAATCCTACCTTACGAAAAATGACGGGGGATGCAGCCAACATGTTGCGAGCTGCCCAGTTTTCAGATATTCTCGATGTATGCTACTGTCTAAATTCCTAGTATCCCCCTAAATAACCCCTCTACTCTATATAATCCCTTATATAACCCCCTTTCAGGAGTTTAGACTATAGCTCATGTAGAATTGGAACTGCAAGGCTGAGAACTTGACGTTGCATCTCTGGAAAGACTATGAGTTATATGGGGATAATGGAAAAGAAAATGGAAACTACTATAATGGGTTATGTAGGGATTATAGGGTATATACTGGGGTTATAGTGGAAAATAAAATGAAAACTACTATAGAGAAGATTCTCTGCCGGAAGACGCACCTACGTAGGTACTCAGGATAATTATGTTCCTTCAATGTCCAAATCTCCGTTACAGGGTGTGCCTAAGTTCGTGTACGAAGCTTGTCGCAATGCATTTCGCAACATGGCTGTTTCAGTACTGTGGCAGGCAAGGCTGATAGTTCTTCGATTCTTTGTGAAGCTCACTACTACAGGGGCTTAGGGTTTAGGGTTTATTGGGGTTATATTGGGATAATGGAAGTAAAATGGAAACTACAGTTTAGGGTACAGGGTGTAGGGCTTGGGGTTTAGGCTATTACCTGGATCCCTGCCAGAGTGGATGAGAGGCGAGTCAGGTGCGAAGTCAGGAGCAAGAATGCAGCGAATCAGGAACAGGCAAGAGGGTTAGTCAGAAAGAGAGTGGGGGCGAGTCAGGGACAAGAAGGGGGCCCGTCAAAAATGAACCGATAACTCTAAAACACTGACTCAACCCTGTCTGTTCCTGACTCAGGCTCCAATCTTGCCCCTGCCCTGTTCTCATTTGTTCGGTTTCCGACTCGGGCGCTCGCGGCGGACTCGACCAACATCCCTGCCAGACTTGTCTTGCTCCTGCTGTTAGCAAATAATATCGGTGCTAAGCAATGCTTTATCATCAGTGCTTGTTATGCAAGCTGATATGGTTTTTTGTCACTAGAAAGATCACACGATGATTAGGCACAATCATGCCAGCCTCGAGCACAACAGAATGGTTTTCAATTCAACTTTGGGCAAATCTGGCGTGAAAATGAACCAAATCTTCCTTTTGCGGACGCAAGCATTCAGAAAAATGTGCAAGAGCCCGCAAGCCTCGGCCTACATGAGTGTGCAGCGGAGGCTGGGTGTGGCAGGGCGAAGGTTGGAGCAGAGGATCGCTGCCTACATATCTACTGCCTGTTACCTTGGGCGGTCTGTATGTGCTTGGTCAAGCATAGACCTAGAATGTCCCCAAACCCCTACCTAGTTGACCTACTTCAATCCACAGGCCTCAAGCTCTTTCTCCACTGGACGAACAAATGCCAGAATCTTGCATTCCGACGCCCAGCGTTTGCCAAAAAGGCCGAAGACTGCAAGGTTCAGGGTGTAATGAATGCCATGCACCTGGTCGGACAAGAATACTCAACGAAACAACATCAAATGTTGATGTCTACTTCCTGGGAATTGGATTTTCGACATGAAGGAACTAGCAACACATGCTGTAGAAATACGAGTCATAGACATGTGAGTTAGAAATGCCCATGCTCGCAGCAGCAGCAGCAGCAGCAGTAGCAGGAGCAGCAGTAGCAGGAGCAGCAGTAGCAGGAGCAGCAGCAGCAGCAGCAGCAGCAGGAGTAGTAGTAGTAGTAGTAGTAGTAGTAGTAGCAGCACTAATAGTAGTAGTAGGAGGAGCAGCAGCAGCAGCTGCAGCACCAGCCCAGCAAGCATATGAGTACTAGTACTAATTCTCGTACTAGTACTAGCGTGGAGCTAACTGCTCCGGTCTTGGAACCCAGTCCGAACAAGGGCAGCCTTTTTCACAGCTCAGTTGGCTTCAGCTTCTTGACCAGTCCACGACAGTGCCCGCGTCCATAAGGGCCGCATGGAGAACTACATGAAGGCAACTACCCTATAAATCTACCGTGCACTGATGGGTACTAGTACTAGTCGGGTCAATCGGCAGGGTTTGCCACGTTTTGAAGCATTTCATTTTTGTATGCCGCAGCCTTGGGTGGATCAATTTGCTGCTTTCGGGTTCGGGCCACCGCCTGCCCCGCGCCATTGGATGCTGTGGAGCTTGAGGGGCTGCTTGGATGAATCGGGGACCAGAGCATCCATGCCGAAATCTTAATTCCGTTCATGTTCCAAGAGCGGTTATTAGAGCATCCATGCCAAAATCTTAATTCCGTTCGTGTTCCAAGAGCATACAGTTATTAGAGCATCCATGCCAAAATCATAATTCCGTTCGCGTTTCAGGAGCATACAGTTATTAGAGCATCCATGCCAAAATCATAATTCCGTTCGTGTTCCAGGAGCATACAGTTGTTAGAGCATCCATGCCAAAACCACCCACGAACCCAAGAAGTTGTTTCAGAACTCCGGATCCCACACCAAGGTTGTGGGAGGCGAGCAGAGGTGCGAGTCCCTTGCGTCCAAGATCAAGCGAAGCTCGTGACGCGAGAATAAGATGGGCAGGAAGCAAGTCGAGGTCGGCACACAACATGTTGACCCTTTGGCTACGCTGTGGATCAGTAGCAACCCTGGATTGCTCAATGCAGTTCACGCAGTGGCATCTTACCGCACAGCTTTGAAGGACAAAGTCCCGCCGCAGGCGGCTTTTGTGGACCTCTCCTGGCTGGAAACCCCAGCGAACTGAAAGACCGGCAAACGGTGCGAAAAAGAGGCTCCGAAACCTGCATAAAATGCATGCGTGCGCCAAAAACCGGCGGATTTTTCTGCCTGCTCTTGCCCCCGACGAGCTCTGCCAACACAGCTCCTGCACTTGTCATGCTTTGTCTCCTGAACTTCAAATACGCTGGCAAGCGTGGCATTTTTTGCTTAGTTCCCATGAGATAATGCCAAGATACACCGCTACGCACTAATCCCAGAAACATGACACGAAGCCATTTTTTCGCGGCAAACTTATACGATTAACCCTACTAGTAGTAGTAGTAGTAGTAGTAGTAGCAGTAGTAGTAGTAGTAGTAGTAATAGGTAGCAGTTGTTGTTGTTGGAGCAGCAGCAGCAGCAGCAGTGGTGGGTGGCGTGATTGCCGACGGGCGACGGCACAAAAAAAAACGAGTTATCGTTTGACGACATGGTGGCAAAAGCACGATTTTGGACGAGATTGGGCATTGGGACGAGGCTCCACACGACAGCTGTCGAACCGCCACATGCGCTGGCTGCGCGTGCTGTGTACACACTGTTTGACCTGGACCTCCCCGATACCCACGACCGCTGTCTCTAACCTAAAAGTAGCACGCGCATGGTATATTGCTATGGGTATTTGAAGGTCCAAGTAAGGATGAGCATTTTTTCCGCCAAGCTGCCGAAGTTATTCATTTCTTGGGACCCTGCGCACAGACCTATAGACCTTCCGATTACAAGGTTATGGCCAAACGTGTCTGATGATTTTCCTACTGGGGGGGGAAGTCTTCAGCATGTATACTTGAAATTGAACCTCACTGATCTTGCCAGACCTGGATACCCAAAATGCACTTCAGCACCAGGGCCACGAGGAGGATGGCGAAGAAGGCAACTAGCAGCACGAGCGAGAGGACGAACATGACAGGTGATAGAAGGGCGAGCACCACGGCAAAGGAGTGATGGTTAACCTGGGTTGCACCTGAAAGTTTTACAAAATCCGTTCTCACCACATCAAGCCCTCTACAAACGATAAGGACAATTAGACAAAAAGGAAAACTGCTCTACCCAGTAACCACAGGTCTCTGCACCGTGCGAGTTTTGAAGCGGCGGAATAGGGTTGCCGCAGCAGGAAGGTCTTCGGTCGGCAGGGGTGGAGCCAGGACTAATCGCAATGGAAGAAGAGCGAAGATAGCCACCTGCGCACACCCCCAGTACATCCAGTGCAGGTCTCCAAATCTATCTCGTGTCTGTTGGTCCCGCTGATCTGGATCAGGGCTTGCTGTTGACTCATCTTGCTCCGGGGATTGCAACCATTCCCAAAGGTCCGAGAGGCGGGCCCAAGGGCGGCGCTGAACCTCCAGCAGCATGCGTGCCCGGGCCTGCACAAAGAGGACTTGGTGTCGGTCTAGTTGCCTTTCGTAATTCGTTCCCAAAATGCCGACCAGCAGGTTCAGGAGTAGTACCTGAACGAAAATCCCGGTGCAGAAGAACAACCCTTGCAGGTAGAGGTAGGTCTTGGGGTCAAGATCTGTCGGCTCCGGGTCCACAGGCTCCCAGAGCATTGGATTTGTCACGCTCTGCTCATACACTGGGTCCTGGCCCTGATACTCAAAAAGGTCAAAATCTCCGAACATTGCCAAGCGAATGGTATGGGTGAATGCGGAATAGACGGGGTAGGTGTCTTCCCCTCGTGGTCCTAGGATGACGTATGCGTGTGTAGCAGCCGCAATGCTCATCATGGTGACGAAGAAGAAAGCCACAGTATCGCGGACGGCTGTAAGGATAGGCAGCAGGTATGGTCCAAGCCACCTCTCTCCACGCAGGCTGTACATGAAGCGCAGCCAATACCTGGATCATTTTCGAGATAAGTCAGTAAATTATCGGCTTCATTCCTTGAGCTGGTCAAGTGTTCATAAAGGATCATAAGCATATGGATGTTGTTCAACAATGTCAAAGGTACATCGAGCAGAACCAAGGAAGAAAGACCTGCATGGCAGGAGACACATCCACATCCCAAACCCCTTGCTCGTTTGCACGCGCGCGGAAACCAGCACAACCCACGGTTTCCAGGGAACTTAGGGAACAGAAGGATGAAGCGCGCATCAAGCTGACCCACAAGTCTGAATCTCGTGTTTACAGCTTTCTTGTAAAACTTCCTTTACCGCTCGAGTTATCAGACTCATTTTCCAAATTACGAACTGGCACGCCCTGCTGTTCCCACATCCTGGACGTTTAGCGCCCCAGCCTTGCAAAAATTACAGCTCTGTAACTTGGAAAGCTCAGGCCCGGAAGTCTGCATGCAGAGAACAATTAGGAAGGCAGGAAGGAATGTACCAAATTGACAGCCCATACTTCTACAACCCAAGCAACATGATTTCCCGATATTTCGCAAAACCACGGCAGCAGACATTGTCCACAAATACCCACTCCTCATTCCACACCCATAAAAACCGGACCTGCCGAGTTATGGACCAACACGGAACACATAGCCCTAGCAAACGTGGTGCGAATCGCAGACGCGGCAGCGTGGAATGGACATGAAGGAGATGCGTGTATGGGAAATGATTTGTGCTTCTGCCATCTTCCGCAACGAGGTCTGCAAACTTCACAAAACCCTCAACAATCAGGATTCCTCCCTCAAGAAGTACACATCGTCTGCATCAGGACCACATATTAGAGTTGAGAGAGTATAATCCTGGTGAACCGTAGGTGGGACGCTGGCGAACCTTGCTATTGACGCCAAATCAATCAAAAGCCACAGAAAACAGCACAATTTCCTGCATTTCTATCCAAAACTCGAAACAGGACTTTCCATTCTATTTTCCATTATCCCAAAATGCCCTATATAACCCTCTCTTAGAATATGGTAGTTTCCATGTTATTTTTCCATTATCCCAATATAACTCCACTATTGCCCATCATGGCTAGGCTTGGTCTTCCGCCTTCTCCAGCTTAGGCTTTGGCTGCTCGCTGCATAGCCCTATCTGAGGAACCTAGTGGCTACGGTCTGGGTTTGGAGTTTCCCTTAAGTAGATAGAATACCCTAAACCCTAAAGCATATAGAATATGGGGTATCTACTTAAGGGGGACTATGGAGTATGGCATTTCGGGATGGGGTGTCGCAGCGCTTCGGCTTTGGGTAAGGTCTTCGCATTGGGGATAAGTGATGTTTTTCAGGAATGAGGCTCTAAAAAAAAAACTCGACATACCAGCTCAGCAATGAGGACGTCTACACTAAGAGTCCATGTCCCCTAAGCATCTCGAAGGATATGTTGCAGTTTCCTCAGACCATCCTCTCAAAAGCAGCTCTCGCTTTCGCGCTAAGAAGCCGTGCCTCAAGGCTTACACAAAGGGGAAAGCAAAAAGGATACTGTAGCATCTGGGAACAATGGCAAGGACGCCAATTCCCAGGAATAGTAGATCTGCAAAAGTTTCCAGACTCGGTACCGGGTTGGCGGAAGGAAAAGTAAATTTTCCAACCATGTCCTCGTTACCACAGATCGAGATCATCTTCCTAGCGGTCTGATCCTGCTCCTTCAAGATCTTCAGGTCTGTTCCATAGCCGATGATCAGAAAGGCCACTTGAAAGAACCACTCGGCAGCTTCTTTGGTATGAATTACTGTCAACGTCCATAAGGCGGGCCTCAGACATGCTTACACCATTTCTTCTGGACGAGCGGCAACGCCAGTGCAGAATCAAGTGAGCATTTGAGAACATGATTTTTCACGGAACACGCAATTAGGGCCACAGATAAGGATATTCCTAGTGAAACACCTGTGACGGTTGTCACTGGACATGTGCGTCCAACGGTGCCGCGACACTTGGACGCTTGCGAATGCTTGCGCAAGCTTCTTTCCGAACGTTTGCCGAACACTTGTGGACACGAACTGCACAGGCTCACGTCCATGCATTAAGCCGCACAACCCCCCAGCAGTACGCGCATTGTGGGCATAAGAACATCGCAAAGTCTTCCCCTGACTTCAGGGTTTCCCACGCACGAATTTAACAGCAAGAGCAGGTTTTCTGAAACCAAAGGGCTGACAGTCTTCGCTCTTCCATTGAGCACTAACCCTTAAATCCTCACCCCCTAACGGCAAACTCTGCATCCTAAAGCTTAAGCCCCTAATCCCCATTCAAAGACTGGTTCTGGTCTAACGAATGCACCCTTTGAGACCAGAACTGTCCGTAGATGCCGACACCAAAACCACATGAATAGGTCACCAAACACCTGGGCCATTGGTGGCTAGGTTTCGGGCTTTGGGCCGTTTCCTTTCCAACTCATCAAACATTAAGCCCATGGACATCAAAGGGCTAATTCAACAATGGTCCAGACGCAGGCAAGCCAACGCCAGCCCGTTCAGCCCGACATCCAACGCTGTCCAAAAACGCAGTTGCAGCCATGCTGCTGACACGATTGCCTCTACGGTATCCTGGGCTGGCTTGGGGGTATAAGCTGTGAGTAATCAGGGTTTAGGGAGGGATCCAAGTTGCTGAACAACCTATTGTACTCTGACGAGACCGTGCACCGTCCCGTTGCCAACATAATAGTATGTCATCAACCTCTAGGTCCGCAAAGCTGTAAAATTATCTTGCAATGACGCGGGCCTTTATTTTGAAAAGGTGGCAATGATGCAGAGTTCATCTTCGAAGCATGCTAAATGGTCTCGGCGAACATTTGAAAAAACCGCCAATCCTGGGGTGCACAAGATCAATTGCGTCCATGTCGGGCCAATGCATGTGATGTTTCTCAGAAGGCACACAGCTGTTTCCACGGGGTCCCATTGCCTCCGGCCCTTCTCCATTCCCCGCTTTCCTCCCCTCCCATACACTCACCTCCAAAGTCTCGCTATGCCAGAAGAACTTTTGCTGAACGTTTACAGACCTGTCAAATTTCCCCATGCAAGCTTCAGAATCCTAGTGACCTGAATTTCCACTGTTGCACACGAATGTGGCCGTAGCTCAATCACACGAAGAGTATAAAAATGTACTCGAATAAAAAACAAGTACTCAAGCCTGGTATCTGATGACAAGGTCTCTTCATTGGGAGTATCGGCCAGCGCCTTCAGAACTTCGTTTCTGCGCGCTGCCTGTGTGGGTACTCGAAGCAATTTCACCGATGCTTGCACCCTCGGGACGTAGAGCAGGTTCTGACATCCCAAGTTCAGTGAGAAAGATTTGTTGGTCTCACCTTGCTGCTGATCAGGCGGGTCTGTCTTCTTGATTTTGCTCAGTCGAAAGCTCCGTGAGGGTGCCTGGCAATGCAGGAGACTTGCGAGACTCGCAAAGCGAGTCCCGCTTTGCTTAAAGACTTAATTAAAACCACCTATAATGACCAACGACGACTGCTACTAATATTACTTCGACGACGACTACTACTACTGCTGCTACGACGACCGCAGGTGCAACTACAACTACCGCTACAGCGACTCCTTCTATGAATACAACTATGACGACGAGCACGCCTACGAGTATGACTACGACCACTACCTGTACCACAGCGACCAAGGCTAACACTAACAGTGCCCACACCACTTACACGAACACTAAGAACAGGACTGCTCATAGTAGTTTTACTTCTACTGCTGCCCTTGCTGCTGCTACTAGAAGTAATGCGGCAAAAGAGGAAAGGCAATACTTGCTTCAAATGGCTTAGATACTGATAAAATGCTAACCGAAAAACTAAAAAACATAGATATGTACTACAGGAACTGATGAAGACGACGATCACAGCAGAACAGACTTGTCATGGTGATGACGCGATTGGAAAGTGTCTATGTAAATGGTGCCAACTGCGGACTTGGAACGCTTCCAAACTCGCGATCGCCGCAGTCTTTGTCAAAGTGACCAAGGACGGTGCGAATGGGTTCCCGCAAAGCTGCTTGTCGGCTGTCTTGCTCGGCCTGCATGCAACGCTGGAATTTCCAGCCTGCTTGGCTGTACAAACACACTCTTCAGGCAAACGCAGTCACCATTCAGAATTTGCTGGAGAAGAGGAAGTTGATCGGTCTTCGGCCAGATAGCAGGCGACTCAAGTTGAAGGGTCCCCCGATTTAGTTTCTCCACGATGCCGGCCCCTGCCCTGTGGGGCAGACTCAGCCAAGTCTTCTTCGTTCATTGGGGCATGCGCAGGCCTGGTTCACAACCTCTAGATTGATTCTCACAAGCTGTTCCTCTCACGTCTCCGAATGGCGGAGGCGCTTTCTGGATGCTTATAGGGAGAAATCCCTCACCGTGTGAATTCGGGAACTCTCATTCGGTGATCTGAAAATTGCAACAATTTGGACGCGATTACTTCACGTTTCCCTCCAACAGGTCAAGAGATGTCCGTGACCCGCTCACAGGAGGATTTTAGGAAGTCCCGAGGGCCACTTGTGATGCTTATACTCCTCGCGAAACCTACAGGTGTTGTTTTGAATCTTTTTCTCCGGAAGACGCTTGCTCTCACGGCCACTCAAACAGGTCAATGTCGAGCATGGCGGCAGTTGCCGCAGTAGCCCTCTAAAACCCAAATGACCACGCACTTCTTGTAAGCCTGGGTCAACACAAATGAATCAGTTCAGGGATGTGGTTTGCTCAAGGTGCGGAGGAAACTAAGGTGCGCGTGCCAAAGATAATGTACAGTGCTTGTATCACCGCCGCACGACTTAACCTCACGAACCAGGCCCAATCCAAGCGAAGAGCAAGCAACCGGCCCAGCACATCCAAGTAGTCAGCAGTACCATATGCAAGGAGGTGCCCAAACATGCAAGCGGCTCACAGGCTCATCACGGTGCCGCGGTTCAAGTCCAAAGCGGCCAGCGGCCAGCAGCACTAGGCCTGGCGCCCCAACAG